TGGCTGCACAACAGGAGGGACTGAGCCATGTAGTGACACTTCCAGGATGGAGGATCACCCCCATGGCTACAGATCAGCATGGTGGTTGATTTTAACGCAGCACTGCTCTGCTGGCTGGAAATGACTTATGGCAGCCCAACATCTGGCACATCAGGCACAGATTTCCAGTCCTTCCCCCCAAAAAAGTATGAAGGGAAATAATCTTGGTTACCTGGAGCTGCACCATGGTTTGATACTGAGGTCAAATGAACTAACACCAGCCACACACACAGTCAGGTTTTCTGCATTCACCCAACCCGTTGATTGGGGTTTCTTTCCTTAAAATCTGTCACACAATTCAGCTACACTGAGAACTGCCCACAGACTGGATGTTGTTTGTTACTACCCCAGCAAATAAATAAGCAGCAGCCATGAAATTGAGCCCAGACAGACAGCACTGTCTCATGATAAAATGCTGTGGGTCAGGGCTCCTTAGAGCAAAATTATCCTGAATACCACACTCCTCTGATTGCACAAAGTATGTCTGAGGAGACAAGGCCAGTGAAGAACAGAAATCTGAAATCAAAGCAGAAGAAAGAGCAGCTCCTGCAGACTCTGTCCCCTCAGCCCATTTTCCATCCCAGGCCCCTGGCATTGCTAACTCACTGCCAAAGCTTGCTGGGGTGCAGAGTTGTTAAGTCAGAGAGGAAAACACAGAAAGCAAAACCCCACAGGTCCTGTTCCCTACACTGAATACCTCCACAAATATCACCCCAGCATTCACATTCCAACTGTAATTATCAGCAAACAGCAGGAAAAGCTGTGTGTGGAACCAGAAAGGCCAGGAAAATGCATTCCCCAGCCACATTGGCACCAGGGAGGAGATGGTGGCATGGAAAGATGCTGCTGGACGACCAGGGGGGTTCAAAAGATTTTAAGGGAATTGCTGCAGAGATAGATCAGCTCCTGAGCCCTCTGTACCCTTAACCCCAGGGATGTGTGTCCCACTTCCAATGGCATGGATTCACTGGGAATCAGCCTAATAAAAACCTTCCCAGCCTGCTTTAAAGCAGCAAATTGGGCCTGTGATTCCCATACAGGAATATTGAAAGCTTTTAACATTAGACACAAGCCCACTGCTGGTTAATCACTTGAGAAGCTTATTTTAAAAAGACTCCCTTTAATCACTCTCAGGTTATTGCTCATCACACAAGACAAACAGGCACTGAGCTTCACTCATTTGCTTTCCATTAAGGTTTTGATGTAAAGCTCCTGTTTCCTTTTGCAGACACTGCTCAGAACCATCTTTGATGCCTAAAACCCAAGCAGCTTTGAAGGAACCCATTTGAAGTTCACAGCAGTCCCATTAGGGATGATTCTGCTTTTTTTGCTTTTTCTTTTTTTTATTTTTATGAGCCCACAGGAGTAATAATCTCTATATGCAGGGGACAGATGAAATCCTGCCTCTCCCAAATCCCATCCTCACAGAGCAGCAGGGTCCAGCCCATGGCAGAGTGGGAGATGCCTCAATTTCTTGAACCCAAAATCCATCAAATATGACAGCCAATGCACCTATTGCTTCTTACCTGTTCTGCACCCACCATGCTGATAGGTTTGCACTTGAAGAGATGGTTAATGAACTTGGGAATGAAGGAGCTGCAGGAGAGGCACAAAATGATACAATTACATAAGAATATTTGCAGTCAGACAGTCTTGTGTGGTGACAAAGCATGCAGAACCAAACCAGGATGGCTTCCACAAAGACACTCCCAGTGCCAGCATCCCAAAGTGATTCCAGACATGTTAAATATACTAAATAAAAAAAAATTCCCAACCCTTAGGCACAGTTCTTTTGCTTTCATCCCTCCTGATCTCAAAGTTTATTGAGAAGCTGCACACACTCACTCTAGAGGTAAATAAATTGCTATAAACTAAATATGAAGTATTGCAGTAAAAGGTCAGCAAACAAACAATTTTATTTATCAGGATTAGCCTCACTGCTCATGAGTGGATGTATCTTGACTGTATCCAGAACCTACATTTTCCTGCACACAAGTAATTCCATAACATGCATATTACACACTGAACTTGAGGTCCAGCCAAGGCTGGGCCCTGGACACTCACATTGGGGCACCTTTCCAGAAAGCTCCTGGCCAACACAATCAAGACAAGAAAAAGTTTTGTGAAAAGGAAAACACCATTGCCATATTTTACTGTCATGGGTTTCAGACTCAGAAAAATGAGTGCCCAGCCAGAGAGAGAGCTTGGTGAGGATGGAAGCCCAATATTCACCACTTCAGAACATCAGCTTTGGGTTCAGCTGGGTTTTGCCTCTTGATTTGAGGCTTTGAAGCAGTTTCATTGCCAAAGCACTGGTTGGGCACCTGCAGGACAAGCTCCTGCCCCTGCTCCAGCAAAGAGCAGCACCAGAAAAGCTCAGGAGCCACAAATTCTGTCAGGGCCCAACACTTGACCAAGTCTTCCTCTCACTGCCTTGTTTTTAATGTACTCTGCTCCTTCCCCATGTCCTCCTCTGGCTGAGTGCCTGCAGGGCTCACATTTCCAGGACTTGCCCATGACCTGGTGGCAGCTCCTGGGTTTTTATGGCTCTGTCCTGACTCAGTCAGGGGCTGTGCTCTGGACTGGGGCTGTCCATGATGATGATGATCTAAATTCAGCGTGGTTTCCTCCTTGCATCTGCTAAGCTTTTTGTTCCCTCCCCACAAAGCAAGGAGCACAACAGCAGCTTGTTTGTCCTGCCACCTGTTTTCCAAGGCAGGACATTCATTTCTCATCCTTTCTCATGGAAAAGTGACAAAAGTGCAGCTCAGGCTCGGAGCAAGCCAAGCTGCTGAGCAAACCCAAAGGAATGGCTCAGGAGAGCCCTCAAAAGCAAAGATTCCTTCCCTCAGACACAGTCCCTACCTCTCTCAGTGAATCATTTTCTCCTGGAGAGGTGTCAAGGAGAACAATTTCAAGCTACTGTTGAGAAGCAGCTACTGGGCTGCCCTGAGTAGTTTTGAATTTGGCCACCAGAGAAACAACCTTGGCAACACAACAGAAAGAGGAGGAGGAAAAGCAGCCCTGACTCCTCCTGCACAAAAGCATTACAGTGGAGATTTAACCTATCTGTTTTAAAAGTCCATTTTTCAGGGCTATAACTAATTCCCAGAGGGCAATTAGGGAGTGATGAGCACAGCTGGAGCTGAGGTGATCCTAGAAAATGATAAATTGGCAGCAGCTCTGGATGCAGCAGCTCACACTGCTGGCAGAACAGTACAAGAAATTCATTGTGCCTTTGATAGTGCAGGTAAATCCAAGTGTCCCTCCGTCTGCAAGGTCAGGCATGGAGCTAAAGCTCCTGCTGTGTATGGAAAACAGGGTGAGCCTTTTCTGCTGCAGGGTGGCACACTGGCAGCCCAGGGACCCCCTCCCCTGTTGGTTTTAATCTCCTTTTCGATATAACCACACCATCTCCCATAGACAGCATTCTGTCCTGCATGAAACAATTCCCAGGCCCCTCTGATGGCCACCCACCATCAGTGCAGAGGGGGAAAGTGACCTTCCATCCCCACATGCCTCTTATTTCACGCTGCCTTATTGGAAACAGCTTCCCCACTCCAGCAGGACAGACAAGACAAACTGTCAGAGCCAAGGGCTGCTCTGGAATTTTTTTTTTCCCCTTTGGTTTTTATTTTTTTCCTGGACTAGCAGAGACCATCAAGAGCAGTTGCACTTAACAGAAAGTGCCTCTTGCCTAGGCTGGACTCAGTGCCTGGTGGGCTCAGAGTGCAGCAGGCAATCCTGATGTGAGTAATATGTGCATGTTCAGGGGCTCTGTGCTCTGAATGCCTTTAGTCCCTGCACAATCACAGCCAGATTGGGTGCCAGAATTCATTTACAGCTTCAGCTCTAAAACTGAACCCAGAAACCCCCCACGAGAAGCAGAAAAGTCCCCAGTGTAACAATAAAGCAGTGCAGGACAGATGAGGAACCTGAAGCACAGAAACCACAGCACTGAGAGCCTCCCATCCAACACGAGTGTGGCTCTGCCAGAGCTGTGTTTTCCCAATCCCCTGCACTGATGATGCATCAAACACAATGCCTTGCTGAGAGAGGCACAGACAGACTTGCAACCACAGTCTGTCTGTCTGTCTGTCTGTCTGACAGCCTGAGCTCCTGCAGGACATCCCCCAAAGGTTCTGGTGTCACTGAGTCACTGCAGCCCAGGAGGGTTTTGCTCTACACCACCCTCTGAGCTGGTGACCAGCCCTTACCCAGGCTGAGCTCAGCCCTGAACCCTCCACATCCCAACCTTCCTCCTCTCAGTTTTTCCCTGGAGCACCTGGAAGGACCCAGCACCCACCAGGCCTGGCTGCTGCTCGCGGAGGAGCCGCGGCCCCGGCCGGGGGAGAGCTGCTTGTTTTTCCTGTCTCTCTGCTCTAATCTCTTCCTCACTGAGGTCAGGTCACAGACTTCCCAAACACATCCCAGCAGAGCAGCCTGGCTGCTGTGGGGTTTGGTTTCAAAGCAGAAGGTGCAGGGAGAGCTGAGCCCCCCACCCTGCCCGGCAGCCTCGCACCTCGGTCAAAACAAAGCAAAAATGACAAATTAGCTTCAAGGATTGATGCAATTTCTGATGGCCATTTTTCTTCTCTCCAGACGTGGCTCAGATCCTGCTGGTTTAAATTTAGTGACTTTAGCTGCCTTCTCCCCTGTGGTCCTGTAACTCAACACTCACGCTTTATACAATCCATTAGAGCTGAGAAGTGGCAGCTCACAAAGACACAGGCATTAACATGTGGAGAAGCACAAGGCCTGTTAAAAGGATTTTCAGCATTGTGGGGCACACAAAAGGCCAGGTATTTATATTGGCCCAGCCAGAATATTCCATTAAAATGCAGAGCTTGAAAAACACAAATATTTATAGGTATTAAAAAGCATTTTAAGGAGATTAAGATCACCCTTACCACTGGGCTGATTCTCCTTAGCACCAAGTTGCACAGATGCAGCAAAATCAACCTTCAGGAAATCATTTTACCCTTCTACATCTGATCCATGCCACAGTGACCTCAGAATTGTGTCTTAATTTAAATGTGCTGCAGATCAGAGCTGCAGTTGTCCTAAAAAAATGCTTTGGGCTTCTGTGCTCATGGATGAGGGTACTCAGCTTAGATGGGAACTTCCCTCAAATCTCAGAGCTGTTTCATCTGGAGTTTACTTGGTATGTGCCCAGCAATAAAGTTAAAAGGGAGGCAACTAAGCTGAGGTATTAAGAGTGTGCTGTGAACAGCTGAATAAATGGGGGGTTTTATTTATCACATAAAATTCAAGTGTAACCGCACAGAAGGTTTTCATACAATAAATTCTCCCTGAGACAGCGTTTCAAACAGTGATTATGGGCAACAGCACAACATGATTTATCAGGAACTCCTCCTTAAAGCAAACTCATGAGCACCCTGAGACACAGAGGGGGATGAAGCTCTCAGGTTGAGCCTCCCTGCTGTGAAAGCTCCCAGGATAGCTCTGCTGCATCCCACCCTGCTGAGGCGGGAGCTGCAGCTCAAATCTCCAGCCCACACAGCCCCTGCCAGGCCACAGAGCTTATTTCAGGCTGATTACCTTATCAGAGATGAATGAAACATTAAGGTATTTCAGAGTGACACATGACACGCACGCCACTGCCCTGCAGGCCACCAGCAGGGTCACATGTGCCACCAAAAGCAGCAGCTACAACTGGCACTGCCCTCCCAAGGGCTTTTCCTGGGGCTCTGCCATGTGGAGCTCAGCTGGCCACAGGCAAGCAGGGAAGAGCTCAAAGTATCCTCCCAAAGAGCTCAATTTGTGTTTCAGACAAAGTCTGGATGTCCACCCTGCATCCAGCAGCAAGGGGCATTTCTGTCTCATCTGCCACTTCTGTCATGCTGCTCAATTTTAGGTGGCTTGTCAGGAAGATATTTTAATACCCTCCAACATTTAAATGTGAATTTCCCTTCCTGATTATTTTTCCCTTCTGAGCTATTTTTGCACAGAAAAGCAGCTTTCAGGTTGTGAAGGTAAAATACACTTCTCACACATGCCCTCCTTACAGGGCAATGTTATTTTGAGGCAAATTTCTCAGGACCTGGAAGCCCCATGGAAGAAAAGTTGGTTTTCCCACAGCAGGAGTCACATCTAAAGTCAGATATTCAAGGTCTTTTAAAGGTGCCCAACCCAAAATTTCTGCACTTGGCAAACACCACCCAGTGATCATCACAGTTTTATGGGATGAGCTGAATGAAGTGTCTGTGTTGGGAACTTACTTTGCAAATTTTATGCAGAACTGAGTGAAATACTTCCTGGTGGAGGCCAGGTTGTCACGGATGATGGGGACATTCTGCTTGATGTGCAGGATCACTGAGGTGACATAAGGACTCTGGTCACCAACATGCTCCACGTTCTGCCACTGCATCTGCACAGAGGGGAAAAAACAACCAAAAATGACTGGTTAATTCATCAACATTCAAGTAACAACTAAGGGAAACCGTACAAACTTCCTGCCAGGGGATCTCTAAGGAATAATTCAGAGACTGCCTCTGCAATTCACCACCAAGGTCAAGTCCTTCATCATTAAAGTGATTGGGCAAAACCATTTCACAAGAAGACCCAAAGAAAAGCCAGAGCAGAGACTGTGACCAGTAACCCACACAAATGGGGACCACTAGGATCAAAAAAGCCTTTGGAGCATACCAGGCTGCTTTAATATTTAACAGTTTCCAGTTTGCTGGGATGAAGTGCCCATATAAATCCTGATTACAGGCATTTGAGAAAATATCTGCAAGCTTGCAAAGTCTGGATTCCTGTATGGCAGCCAAGGCTTTAATACTGGTGAGACTGATGACAGATAGATGGAAGAGGTAAAAAGTCTTAAAGTCCAAAGCACTCTGCACCAGTGTAGCTCACTGAAAACACTGCTGGTGCACAAGCCAGGATGCCCAAGTCCAGCTCTTCCAAATGCATGTAAAAAATACAAAACAAGAGGAGTTACTCAACCTCCCATTTTGTTTTCATTTATTCTCAGCACAACTGCAGGAGAACAGCCCCTGTGAGCCAGATGTGTGGCTCTCTTGATTTTCTCTGAGCCTGGTTTGCAGTACACAGGGTACTCCCAATTTAAAACAAGTGGAAAAACAACAACAAAAAAAGAGATTATTGGGTCTGGCCTGGCCTTGTGTATGTACCAGAGTCTCACTGAGGAACACAAGCACCCAGAAAAGCACACTCAGTTCTGCTGCTGCTCAGAACTCTGCAGTGTCCTCCCAAAAACTCTTTGGAGATCTGTTCCTCGTGCTGGAGATGAGACAGGAGGAAAACTCATAGGAAATCAGGAGAGGAAACTGGGCACATATGGAAGATGAGCTTTTTCCTTTGAGGAGCTGTTTGTCCTCAAACTTGTTTTCCCAAGCTCTGGATTCTGCATATAAAGTTTTTTACTCCTGGTTTTAATTTTATTTAATTTAATATGGCTACTTTGCTCCCCTGCAACTCAGCTGACTCAACTCCATCCAAACAATCCCTGCCTAAGTGACTTAGTGGGAAAAAAAAAGCCAAATTCTTTGCAAAACCACAGTGTCTGAGTCTACACATGTGCCACTAAAGCTGCTTTTATTGAAACCAAACAAACCAAGCCCAGCCTGCTGCTCTCACATCAGCTGGGTGGCTGGAAGGGATTTCTCTCCCATCACCTGCTCCACAGGTTTTCACAGAGCATCCTGAGCTGGAAGGGACACACAAGGAGCACCAACTTCAACTCAGACACCCCAAAAATCCCAACCTGTGTTTGGGATTGTCCAAACACTCCTGGAGCTCTGGTGTTGTGACCATTCCCTGGGGAACCTCAGCATCCTCTGGGGAAAATCCTTCCCCTAAAATCCAACCTAAACCTCACAGCTCCACCATTCCCTCAAGCCCTGTCACTGGTTTCCTGCTTTTCTGCTCCTCGTGGTGCTGATCACACCAAAACAGAATATTCTGTGCCTTTCTCCCTGATGGATTCACACATTTCCCTTCTTGACAGAGCAATCCTCACCCAACACACCATCCCTACAGAATGGGAAACAACCAGAAAGTGGGAAGGGACTGCTGAGCTGAATTATTGCACCAACAAAGAAACAGTAGCTTTTTCATTTTGTTGGTCATCATTCCAAAAGCAATACTTTACAACCAAACCTTTAAAGCATGAACAGTAAAAATAGCCCTTTTGTGTGTGTGTGTGTGCATTGTGGGTGTGTTTCACCCAAAAAAAACCCACCCAGTAGCTGCAGAGAAAGGAATAGCACACATACTGAAAAGTCATCAGAAGAAATATGAGCCCAACTCTGCTGGTAAAGCTTTGTTCCTGTCCTTTTAAATTTATTCCTCTTTTTCCCTTGTCCTGTGTTTTTCTTGGGATATCCACAGAGTTTACATCCACAGGCTGGAAATGAGTGCAAGGAGCAGGAGCAGGGAGATTTCACTGCAGGGAGAAGCCCAAAGGCACCTGCAGGGCTGGGAGGACACACAAGGGCTGGAGGAGCTTCTCACAACCAAACACAGGGATGGGATTAAAACAGGCAGGAGAAAAGAGAAATGTAGCCATGATATTGTCTGAAAAATCCTTTCCTTAAGATTTTTCCTCCTGAGAAGCTGAGAGGCCTCAGGAACAAAATGCAAACAATGGTTATCTGCTGCTGTGGAATGCAACAGGTGCATCTGTGATTGGTCTCATGTGGTTGTTTCTAATTAATGCCCAATCACAGTCAGCTGGCTCAGACTCTCTGAGACACAAGCTTTTGTTATTCATGAATTCTTTTTCTATTCTTAGCTAGCTTTCTGATGAAATCCTTTCTTCTATTCTTTTAGTATAGTTTTAATGTAATATACATCATAAAATAATAAATCAAGCCTTCTGAAACATGGAGTCAGATCCTCATCTCTTCCCTCATCCTCAGACCCCTGTGAACACCATCACAGAGAAACCCTGAGCAGAAATGGGGAACCCAGGGAAGGGCAGAGCTCAAGGGTGGCACGGTGTCCCCAAAGAGCCACCAGGTCCCTCCCTGTGTCCAGCCCTCCAGAAAAGGGGTTTGTGATGGAGCAGACAATGAATGAACCTTCAATTCTCCCTGTTCAAGGTGCTGTGTCCCCAAAGAGCCACCAGCTCCCTCCCTGTGTCCCAAAGGAGCTGCTTTGGGATTGAGAAGAGGATAAATGAACTTTCAACTCTCCCTGCTGCCAGCAGCATCCCAGTGCCAGCTTCTCCCTGCAGGCTCCTGCCTGGGCACCAGCAGAGGGGCTGGCATGGGAGCAGGGATCGCTGCTGGCCCCAAATTTGGGGACACAAATTGGGCTCTGCCCTGTCACACCCTGCACATATTCCAGGCTCACACACTCTCCTGAGAGCTCTTAATTAGCAGCTGCAGCTCTGCTTGCTCTGCTCTCAGGGTTTTTCTGTGTGTGGAGTGCAGAAACGATGAAAGCCTCGCTCTGTCCACTCGGCTGTGAGGGCACAGGGAATTGCAGCTGGGCCAAAAGGGTTTAGGAAAATGTAAAAAGCCAGCAAGAGGTTGATGTGAGACACTAAAATGTCCCCCAGCCCCAGTTGCAGGCACAGTTTTGCATATAAATTGATGCTTAATTCAGCATGTAAATCAAGCCTTAGCCAGTGCAATCCATAAATTTAATTGGGGCGAAAACATCCCGTGCAGATTAGCAGCTCCCTCATCCCAGAAATTAAAAAGGAAGCACACCAGGCAATGTGAGAGCCTGCTACAGATCAGTACAGACACATTAACAGCTCTTAGTTATCCACAATATCACAACAGGGGGGTTTAGGGCAAATTCTCCTCCCACCCACATCCCAGCTCCCTGTCCTGCAGTCCTGGTTAATCATCCTACACCTGCTGTAAAGTCTGAGTAAGGATGATCACCTACAAATTTCATAATATGGGGCCTTCTCAGCATTTACCATTTTCTTCAGAACACACCAAGTAAAGAATCACGGAAACCAAGCAGCATTCCCAGCTGAAAGCAATATTCCTGATGCTGTTTTCTGTGTTAAATCTCTCAACGTGGCCTGCAGCCAAAGTGGATTGAGAGGTTTAACCATTTCATAATTTACCTCTGTAGTTCCTGAACATTTTTGCAAAGGAAAAAAAAAAACCCAAAGCCAGACTCCAACAAAGGAATGGGAATATTCAATCCTGGAGGACACCAGAGCGAGGTAAATGAAAAGAAATTAAACAAAGGAAGAGCCCTAATGGAGCATGGAACTTGAGAGAGCAAAATTGGAATGGATCAGCCACACAATCTTTATTTCTTTAATACAGGCTGAAATTTTACATTTCCAAATACTACCTCTGTGTTTAAATAATTACATGCATTTCTTATTGAAGTGTCAGAGTAACAACCCAGCCCTGAAGGAAAGGGAGGAGGAAGGTGAAGGGAAAAAACCTCTTGCACCAAATCCAGGTCTAATAAAATCACATAAAAGCAACTCTGTCTGATGCAAACAGAGCAGTGTGTGCACAAGTGACAAGTATTTATTTAGCTAATTTCATAACACTTAAACTTGTTTATATCTCATCAGTCCCATCACATGTGCTGCATTTTACCAGTGTTCCAAAGACAAAAATAAATGGCCTACCAGCTGCTGCTTTCTCAAGGTTGTGGTTTACTTGGGTATAAACAGGGAGAGCTAAGTGATTTAAATATTCCTGTGCTCTGCAGGCTCAGGAGATCTGAGGGGCTGCCACAGCACACAGGCAACACCTGAAGTGCTGAGCCCTTCCTAGTGGTGTTATTTGACTGGGCAAAAAAATCCTCTTTCCATTTGGAACCTGTACAAGCTCTATTACCAGCTGCATTCTACTTCAAATATTAGCTGGGGGGTGGTGGTGGGGCTGGTTACAGCTGGAATACATCATAAAGCAGAAAGCTATTAAAATTCATGGCAGCCAGACAGTGTGTTGATCCTACAAAAACCGAGCTCTATGTTTAATATTTCTAATTAAAAGGAAAAAAAAAATATATAGTTCAATCCACTTTTGTTGTCTTCACCTCTGTCTAAAGCAAGTCTGGGTTTTCACAATGCTTTGGCAAGGAAAGGCAGCTCTGCATTTCAAACATATAAAAGCCAGCAGTGTAACTGCAACAAAATCCTTAAGCTGAGTCCTGGGGGCCTCTCCAGGAATGGCTCCACATGTCCTTGGGAGGATCACAGAGGCAATGAGGCTCAATCCCAATCCCACATCACCTCCAGTGCACTGCCTCCATTGCAGAGCCCCAAACAAGCAGCCTGGTAAAACTCCCTGCCAAAGGAGACAAAGGGGAGAGCAAAACCTGAAGGTGTATTTGGAATTTCACGCTGACAAAAGTTTTTCCAAGTTTGAAACGCTCTCACTGGCGTTGGGAGTGGAAAGAGAAAGCCTTGAGTACTGACTGAATGTATTTCATTGTTTGTAGGTTTTAATGTGGTGCAAAAAGCCTGGAAGCTCTAATCTGAATAATAAGAGGGTTTGAAGTGAGGGATGGATTTATAAATTTCTGTTGTAAAAAGTAAGAAAAAAAAAAACAGAGTAAAAAGAATGTATCAGTACTGAAATCAAGCAATCATAGAACTCCACATGGATCTTAAGGGGATCTCTTCTGAAAATCCACCCCTACCTTGCTCATAGCAGTCAGGGCAGGGTCACAGGCTGCATCCAGGTCCTGCACTAACAGCTGGATGCTGTTGGAGATCACACTGCAAAAAAGGGAAAAAAAAAAGAACCAAGCATGAGTTTCAGAATCACACCGAGTAACAGAGTGCCAGAACTGGAGCCTTTGACTGAGAGGAGGAAAATCCTCCACTGGCTGACAGCAGCTCTGTGATGTGAGTGCTCACAGCCACAGCTTGTGCTGAGGAGGAGCTGGGAAACCCTGCAGGGAGCTGCACAATGCTCAGAGTGGGAGACAGGATGCTTTCACAGCTGACCTTTCTCTGTTTTAACACAAATAAGGGGCTGGGGATCAAAGGTGGCAGATGAAGAGGAGAAATCCCCAAGCATCAAACCCAGCCTGGGATTCAGCATCACATTTAATCCAGGCTGTGTAACACCAACATTTTATCAGCTCTCCATTTATTCACAGCCAATATTCTACTGCTCACAGGATCTCGCATAGAGCATTTTAAAAATGACATCTGCATGAGTTCTGTCTCTCCCACGTGTGAAGATGAAGGCAGATGTCTTATTTACACTATGTCTAGGACTGCTGCCATCCATTGTTTGAGTTCCTGAGACATATACCAGACTAAAGGACACATTAGTCAAACACATTTCCCTCCCTTCCCCCCCACTTTTTTTTTTAAATTTTGAACAGCATGATATTGCTTTGAGACATATTTAATGCCATCATGTTATGATGTGCACAGAGGTGCAGCTGATCCTAAAACAGCAGCCAAGAAACTCTGCCTGCAGCAGCTTCTGCTAAGAACAAGAGCTCATTCTGTTTCACTAAGCACAGCTTTTAAAAACAGTGTCAACTTTAAATCTGCCACAGATGCGTGTTTACAACCTCAGGATTATATTTGTAAGAAGTGGATTTTACTTTTGCTCTTTCTCATGGTGGTGGCACAGATGAGAATCACAGGGCTGTGAGAAATCTGAGCAATTTAGAGTTTTTAAACCAGAAACCAGAAAGACAGCTTTGTCAAACCATCTTTCCTCCCCCTCATTGTCTTTGTGAAGTTCTGGACACTAATCTGGGGTTCACTGTTCAAAATATCTGAAGTGTCCACCTCACTGAGATATGGTGTCACCCACATGGGTGTTATTCCTCATCACAACCCAGAAAAGTTGCCTGTTCCCTTTCCTACACCTCCAGCACAAAGTCTGGAACAAGATGCAAATTAAAACACTTCCTTCAAAGCAATCCATTTGTTTGTAAAGGCAAACTCATCCAAAACAAGTTGGAAAAATTAACATGGGAGGTGAAGCGACTCCAGGCTTCAAGTTACACCATCTAAAATTTGCATTGGGATAAAAAAAAAAGCCTGTGCCTGTTTCTGCTGCTGTTTCTGCTGCTGCTGGGCACTCCAGAATCCCCTCCCTGGAGGATTCCCCCAGGCCAGACTGAAATAATCACCCTGCAGGGCACTGCTGCCACTGCCTGGCAGGGAGGAGATGAATTCAGCACCAAGGAGCAGCACCAAGCTCTGAGTGGGTGGAAAATGCTCCCACCATTCATGTCCAACCAAGGAGCAGCACCAAGCTCTGAGTGGGTGGAAAATGCTCCCACCATTCGTGTCCACGCTCAGGAGTCTGTCAGAAGTGCAGGCTCTCACCTGAAAACCGCAAAAGAGGGAGAGAAATTCATTTGCCTGCACTTCAGAACAAACTCCTGCTGCGGAGGGGTGTGCTGGGAACACAAAGGATCACACTGTGCTGGATGAGAGGGTTTGGAGCCTGGTTCTGCAGGAAAACCCTTCCAATCCTCAGCAGGCAGCAGTGGGTGACTCCTCACACAGTCCTGGCATGCACAGAGGGATGGATCAGGAGCTGAGGCCATGAAGGAGCAGCAGCAACCACACTGAGCCCAACACTTCAGGGGTTCTCTGAGTGCTGCCCATCATTCCACAAAACAGGGAAATTATGCATTCCTGGATTTGCATAACAGTAACTTTTCTTTTGTGGAATATCAAGAAGAAGTTCCCATCATTTCTCCAACTTTCCTTAAGAAACTGCTTTGCCACCACAAGGATAACCTCTCCTTTTCCACACATTTGGGGTGGTTCTGCACCCTCCTTTCTCTGAAAGAAGAAACACTTCCCAGGGTGCACAAACAGCATTTTATCACTTATTTTACGACTGCCTAACAAGACATCAAATCCCAGAAGAAACCCCTTGTTTGATGTTGAATGAGCCAGCAAGGTTTATAGCTCAGACTTCACTGACAGAAGGCTGGACAAAGCCCTCAGCTGGAACAGAATGAAAGTCAATTAAAAGCCTTTGTTACAAGATACATCAGCCCTGTCAGTTGGACTTTAAACCTGTCCAAAGCAGCAAATGTGAGCTGTACATTAAACAACTTCCAAAACACTTCACATGGGCTGTCTGAGGCAGCCACTGTGGAAATCCAGCAGCCACCTGAGGTTGCTGCTTCCTGCTGGCAAAACTCACCTGTCCATGCTCAGAAAACCCCATCTTATGGCACATTTTATTTCTCCTTCCCTGCTACCTTGCTTGCTTTGGCTGAGTGGACACAGCAGCCCTGAATTTCAGGCAGGGATTCACTCCTAAAAAGGTCTGAGAAGAGCCTGGAGGGAAGGGAAGGGAGTCTGTGTAGCCTGGAATGGAGCCTGGGACCATGTGAAAGAGCTGGATGGAGATTCACTGGGATCCTGTCCACTGCAGCAGAAAAGGAGGAATCACAGGAAGGAAGTCTTCTGAAAAAATTATCTTACTGCTATCTGGGCTGAATCTTTGTTTTAGGGAGAGGAGGAGCTGGTGACAGGGATTATTTTCCCAGCCTTGCCAAGATATTCTTTTGTCTGATAAGAGGCAAAACAACTTTTGCCTCAATTTTCTTGTCTCAAAAAATACATTCAATCTGTCTGTCAGGGGTGGAGAGGAAAGGATGTTAGAGCAGAATATTTTTAGCACCGCTACATGAAAAGTTATTTTAATGAATGATAATCTTCTCTCAATTATAATCCCCAAATATAAGATTGGATCAGTCTTTTATGTCATCTGAAATGGGGTTTGATCATACTGACAAGGCTGCTGATTACCAGGGGGAAGTTAAAGCAGGAAGGAATGTACTGAAATAGCTTCCTTTTCTTGAAATGTAACAGCCACCTCGCAGGGCTGCCAAGATGCAAACCATGTTTCAAATGGAAACTCACTATTTCCTCTCCCTTTTCCAGTGCTCTTGTTCCTTTGGCTTGGGCCATGGGGAGCTGCTAAAGCCTGAGCTAGTGCTCAGCCAGAGGAAACCATTCCTGAGCAGGGAAATGCCTGTGCCCATCCTGTCACACCGGGACCTCAGGGTTGATTTTACTCCAGCACCATCTGGCTGACAAAAGGGGATGTTTAGGAAAAAAATATGTGCTGGACATACATGCTGAAAGTGTCCATCTCTCCTGTCAGGTTGATTCTCTCCATTAGGCTTGTGTCCACTTTTTCTTTGAGCTTCTCTTCCAACTGTTGGGAAACAAAACAAGCAACAGGGAGATCAGGTTTCCAACTCGAAATAATCGCTCTTCAAAACTTATGCCCTGGAAAGGTCAGCTTCTTCAAACTTCATCTGTGACCAAACCATATCCAAAACCCATCCAGTGACACTGAAATCTTTCCTTCCTGGCGTCCCAGACCTGTTGGTTTGGCAGGATGGGCCATGGTGGCTCCATGTGCTCAAAGAATGAAAGCTCCAAGGTCAAATATGTAACTCTAGCATGACATGCTACCGTGCTAGCTTAACACTGTGGCATCTGTCCTGCTAATAAAGATGTTTCTCAACACTCTGCCTGTGCCCAAACTGCACAGGAGGAGGAGGATTGCCAGACCTAGTGGTGGAGAGGCCTGGAGAGAGCCAAACATCACAGCTCATTGCTGACCCATGGCATTTTGGAAGCACCTGAATGTAATGAGTGCAGTGGCTGCAAATCACATCAGCATAAATTCCTCCTCTCTCCACTCCACACTGCCCCAGTATTTCACGCAAGTATTTTCCCAAAATTATTGTTGTGCTTGTTTTTATGAAGGGGAGATAATGAACAGAGAATTATTTTTTTTTAAAATTTGGTCCCCAAGCCAAAACAAATTATGTAACAAGCAGAAAAGGATTGACCCCAAAACTGATGCTGCAAAGCAGGATTACAAGCAAATTACTTTTCTCAGAAAATCAATACTTTTCTTTCTTTGAAATACAGAATGAATAATGTAGAGCTCAATAATCAATGGATGTTTTTAGTACTTTTGGCTGTCCCAGCCTCCACAGCAACACAGAACAGGGGCTGGTGTCCCCTCAGAGGAAAGCTCACCTGCTGGGTGGTGGCCAGGCAATATTCTGCAGTGCTCAGGATGCTGCAAATGAGGCAGAGCTCTTCTAAAGTAAACTTGGCCACTTCAGAGCCTTCCTTTTCTTTCAGCAAACTTGTGATGGTGAGCCCACCACTGCTGCTGGTTGTCCTGGGGAAGAAATCAAAAACAAATCAGATAAAACCTGTGAGGTTTTTGACACTCAAAGTGCAAAATTACTGCTGGATTTTAAAGCCATAAAAAGGCTTTATGACCACAACCTTAAACCCTGTGCAATACAGGACATCAAACCCACAACTGCTATTTTGCTGAAGGAATTTCTTTTACAAAGAGCTTTATATCAAGTCTTAAAGCAAAGGACAACTCACTCACTGACAAGAAAACAGATTAGGATGCAAGTGGAACACAGCCTTCCCCAGGTAGCTTCACCTTCACTGCCACTTAGCCAAAATCTAATTAAAGATTGCAGGAGGATCTCAGAACTATCAGGAAACTTGTCATATTTATCTCTGCAGCACTAAACAGCTGCCCACATGCATCTGAGACTTTGGCAACCTGGTTTAAAAGCTGATGGTATCAACAAAGTAAATTATGGAAGGTGTGACCTCCCCTTCACTGTCTTCCAGTGAGCAAGGTTCATGGATCAACAAAGACAGAGCAGTTTAGAGGCAGGAAATTCCCTACCTCTCAACTCTTTATAATCCAAATCCATTAAAAAAAAAAAAATAGGACAGTGATATTTATATTGGACAGCAAAAATGGAGCACTCAAAAAAACGTGGATAAAGAATGCAACTGAGGTCTGCTGGAGAACACACATTAAATTTATCTTTCCACTTGTCTGGATGGAACCCTCTCCCCTTCCATCTGTGAAAGGTTTTACTGGTTTCAGAAAGTCATTCTGCTGCTCCCAGGTTTACAAAGGAAACAAGCTGAAGATGTTAAATGGCAAATAAAATTATCTGCAGTGGAGTTTTGGCAACATCTCAGGAGCACCTTTAGCCTGTACACTGATCCATGTTGGTGCAATCTCATTATGATTTCCTTTCCTTTCACTGCATTTACATCTCCAGATCTTATTTATACAGAGATAAAATGTTCCAGAGCAGAGGGAGGCACAGGGAAGCACTTCAGCATCTCAGAAATAAACCACCTTCATTATAAATTACCATATAGATGGTGTTGGGCTAAGGCAGCTGAGAATCCCAGGATGAGCTGGTTACCCAAGCAGCAATTCTGAAAGCCAGGACCCTCTGAAGAGACTTGGGCTGGCATTTCAAAAGGAACTTCAAGAAACTGCAAATCTGACTGTGAATCAAAGCCAAATACGAAGCTATTCTCCAGAGGCCCTTAAAAGAAAAACAATGTGTGACCGCACATTTGCTCTCCTGCTTTTCTCTCTGTGCAAAAAACCTGAATTTTGGAGAAAACCATGAAGTAAATGGAGTGATCCTGCTGCTACCTGGGCTGTTTGACAGAGAAATGAGTGTACTCATGAATTATCTTTACAGAGCATCATCTCCTCAGCGCAGGGGGATGTGTGCAGCACTGGGGGTGCCAGACTCACTTGGGCAGGTTTCCAGAGAGGATTTTCCAGGCGTATTCCCGCAGGTACTTCTGGAAGATGGTGGTCAGGGCTATCATGGGCTCCCCAGTGCTGAGCTGGGAGCACTGCACCATGCACTTCTTGTAGTACACAAAGAGGTCAGCACAGCTGGGCAGCACAGCTCCCCCTTCATCCACGTTGGGCTTGGGGGGACCCTGAGCCTTGAAGTCAGCCACAAATCTGTCAATCAGCTCCCCCAGATTCCTGGGGTGGGGAACAGAAACATATTTGAGTCAGTTGAGGGAGGAATTGGGAGTGAAAAGAGAGAATAATGCTCACAATGAGATGCTCTGTCTTGTGACAGCAGCGAGTTCAGGTTTAGCAGCTGGGTTTTCCCAGCCCTTTCTTATCTCCACACTCTGAGCACAAAGCTCACACAATTCCACAGCCCAAACCTTTTTGTGCTCAGGAGTTTTAGTGGCAGCTTCAAATCTCTTCTCCAGCCACACATAAAAGCTCCCAGGTCTGCCAGGGCTCAGTTCAGCACATTTGATGCAAGTGCATTAAGCCTGTGCTCAAGTTTCATTCCTGGCACCAGGAAAAGGAGCAGCCAGGCCTCCCATCCCAGCAGAGCCCAGGGAATTTGGATTTTGAAGGGATGTGCTCAAAATGGTGAGTCCCATTTGCCATTGCTTGGTCCCATTTGGATACCACCTGCTTTTGCACAACTTCACACATCCTTTAAAGAAGTTTTATTTAGCACGAGCACAAAGTGCACTTCCTACTCAGACCCTTTTTAAAAGCACAAAAAGCCCTCTCATTGTCTCCAGTGATTCATTACAGCCTGGTCCTTACTCTAATATTTCAGTCTTTAGGCAATAATAAACTTCACTCCATCCTTTCGCCAGGACAAAAAGGCTTTTGAGCATGGCAGAGAGCCAGAGCCAGCAACACAGGACCAGAGAATCTTCTGATCTTGGGGAGTTCCTCTGGTCCTGCCCCTCCAGAGACAGCACATCCATGTCCAGCCCAGCTCCATGGAATAACCTCTGCCAGATAGATGAATTCCAGCAATAAACCTCCTCCCCCAGGTAAATTCACACAGCCCTCCTCAAGGAAGCTTGGATTTTGGGAAATAGATAGGCCTTTCAGATGAGAGAGGTACTCTGCTGACCAGGAGTTCCTGTATTTTATATTCTTTTTTTTAATATGGTTTTCCTGCAGCTCTCCCCTTGCCATGGCACAATCTACACCTCTGAGGGTGCAATGGTTGGGCTGTGCCATGAAACAGAGTTCCTGAGGAGAAAACCAAATCCTCAGGAGAAAGGCTGAGACCTCTACCAGTGAAAGGGGAAACACCCATCACCACCAACTTTCCCCTGGTTTTTATCACTTTTTGCTTTCCCTCGTGTGAGAGAGAAAATTCCAAAGATTCAGAGAAACCTCAAGTCAGAGAATTCAGAGAATCAGAGAACCCACAAGTCAGAGAATTGAGAGACACAAGTCAGAGAATTCAGAGAATCAGAGAACCCACAAGTCAGAGAATTGAGAGACACAAGTCAGAGAATTCAGAGGAACCCACAAATCAGAGAACTGAGAGAATCCACAAGTCAGAGAACTGAGAGAATTCACAGAACCAACAAATCAGAGAAATGAGAGAATCAGAGGACCCAGAAGTCAGAAAATTCAGGGAATGAGAGAACTCACAAGTCAGAGAATCCACAGAACCCACAAATCTCTTCCCTGATAAACTCAGAGGCTGCTGCCTCAGCATGGATGAGCTCCTACCAGGGGTGATCTGCTGGGCCAAACTTATCTCCAGAGATGCTCCTGGAATATCAGGATGTCCATCATGGAGCCAGGCTGTTGCAAAGACCAGCAGCCCCTTTTTCCATGCCTATGGCTCAAACCCTGCACACAGCTCTGACTGCACACTCCCAGCTCTTCAGCTGTGTTACAAGCACTGTAAAAACATCAGGCTGCTCCACTGATGTGATAAATCTCCACGCTGGCAGCAGCAATTGGAGGCTGAAGTGAAGCACTGATTGTGTTGGGCCACAGAGAAGCAGAATTTACCTCCCTCTGTAGCTGTGGCAGAGCCAAACAGATGGCTGCTGCAGGAGGGCTGCAGCCTGCACATCCCTGCAGCTCCTCAAGCAAAGAGGACGTGCCTCACTCCTTGTCAGACCCAACAGCTGCATCCCCACCTCTGCATCTGTGCTGGCCTCCAGCTGGGCAGCAAAGTGGAGCTTTCTTAGCACTCACCAGTCACTTGGGTTTATTTTTTTTATTTTTCGCCTTCTCTCAGTCTCAAGGCACGGTCAGGAATGTCGATGGCTTTTGTTTCTTTATGTTTAGCCCACATGTTCTCCTCTTCTCTGAGGCGAAGTGAAATGGATCTGAGTTTTCCTGCCCCCCCTACAAGGTCTTGTCAAGTGGGATGCAGGAGAAAATGCAGCTGCTCAGCAGGGCTGGGGCTTCAGGCCTGTTCTGATCCCAGCCTGGAGAAAGCTGCCATCAAACCAGGCTGTGGGACTGCTCCCACGTCAGAATGGCACTGGTGACAGCAAAACATCACGATATTGTGCTCTAAAACAACTAATTCATCATTAATGCACACTCTGGCTGATGGCAAAGCTTCACATGAGCCTCAGCTTGTCCCAAATGTGATACTGTGATGGTGTTCACAGGGGTCTGAGGATGAGGGAAGAGATGAGGATCTGACTCCATGTTTCAGACGGCTTGATTTATTATTTTATGTTATATATTACATTAAAACTACACTAAAAGAATAGAAGAAAAGGTTCTTTTCAGAAGGCTACCTAAGCTAAGAATAGAATGGAATGAATAACAAAGGTTAATCACAGCTGGGCTGTGATTCGCCATTAATTCCAAACATCCACATGAGACCAATCCCAGATGCACCTGTTGCATTCCACAGCAGCAGATAACCATTGTTCACATTTTGTTCTTGAGGCCTCACAGCTTCTCAGGAGGAAAAACATCCTAAGGAAAGGATTTTCATGAAAAGATGTCTGTGACATGACACCAAGGCCACAAATCTTTGTGTGGTGCAATGGGAGCACAGAGAGCCTGGCAGAAAAAGCTGCTGGGAGATGAAACATTCAGAGGGCAGGAGAGCTGCAGAAAATGAGCGTTTTCTGCACAGACTCTGCAAAAAAGGAAAAGCTCCAAGAAAAGTCTCTGGTAGTGCAGATGTGGTATTTCCTAACAGTAGCGCATTTACTGGCAGTGAGAACTCGCCAAATCTAACCAAGAGAAAGAATGGGATGAAATCACATAAAGGGAATTCTATTCTGCTTCTTTTCATTCCTGCATTCCTCTTCCTTTGCTTTTTGGTTTTTTTTTTCTTTCAGTCAACCTATTCAGGGTTGTTCTGGCAATCAGGAGAAGAACCAGGAATTCACAAGGAGCAGGAGAGAGAAGAGGATGCTCAGGAAACTGGATGTGAGCAGAGCAGTGGCACTGCCACACCTGGAGCACTGCAGAGCATTTTCCATGTCCTGGGGATTCTGGAAGCAAACACACAGCACAAAGTGCCAGCTTTCCAAGCTCTCTGGACTCAGATGTGCAATCTCTGAGCAGATTTAAGGAGGGCTCTGCACACTCTCAGCCCTGACAGAGCTCTTCCTCCTCTCCCAGAACAGCTCAGCTCACATCTGTGTGCTCCAGCTGACCCCAAAGGACAGCTAGAGATGCACATCCCAAAGGGGCAGGAATGAATCTGATATTTACCCTGCAGCTGAGGGTGGAGAGCAGCATCTTTAAGCTCCTTCTTTCAGGTGTCTTCTCTTAAACTGCTACAGATTTTGGCACTGTGTTTCTATAAATGGGTATGGAAACAATTTTTTTGGCAGAAAATGCCCACAGATTTAATGTGGCAGAAAAATGATGAACAAAACTATTGCTATCACTATTCAGAGCTCAAATATACAATTAATGATCTAAGCAGCATCTCATTTTCAGACAATGGCAACAGATTCCTCAAAAGTTCAATCAAAGGAGGAAGAAGAGAGAAAATAGTGAAGAAAAGCAATTTTTTGGCAGTCAGGGCAGCATGGGGAATACTGTGGCAGTTTTTCTTTGAACTCCCTGCAGCTTGTGGCTATAAAGATAATATAAAACATCTCATGATTGTAAAGGAAAAGGAGAAGAAAAAGAAAAAAAAAGGCAACTGAAGGGGTTAGGAGCACAGTGGGGTAGAATTACCAAAATGGGGATTAAAATGGCCCCCAGTGAGAAGGGAAGAAATACTCAAAGAAGTCTGTGCTCAGTTGGCTGAGGGCAGGGGGGAAATATCAGTTTCCCTTTGTGATATTGCAGAGCAGAACCTAAACCCAGCAGGACACAGCACTGTGCAAGGTTTCAGCTATTTTAATGATTTCTTTAAGCATAAAAAGTTGATGGGACATGGAAAAGCTTTTCCAAGATGTTTTTCACGGAGTTTGGATAAAATCAGGACAGTACAAGCCTTGAGTTAGAATTGTCTCATTGGAAGATACAAAAGCACACACAGACAAGATACATCAAGTAAGAACCTCCTCATTTCCAGCCACTAATCTGTGCTAAAAGACCAAATTGAACCTTTTTCAGCTAGTTCCTCTCCCAGGTGGCACTGCAGTTGTTACTGAGATGTTATTTAAGTGAATGGAGGTGCACAAGGAAATGTGGTGAGAGCCCTGAAAACTTCCCAGAGCTCAAAGCTGAAAGCTCCTTTCATTGAAGGTTTTTAGCTGCAAGTCAAAGAGGAAGATGAGGAAGGGTGCCAGGGATTAAAGCCCCTGACAAAGCCCCAATCTGTGAGCAATGATAATGTTATCTTACAACCAGCTTTCATCTTAGGATCTCAAATAACTTATTCCTACAAAGCAAATCCTGCAGCTCCTCTGCCACAAAGCCACGTGTGTGTTTTACAGAAAACCCAACCCTGTTATTTGTGGAAGACATGAGATGAAAGAAAGACACACGTCTGCAGTGGGAATTGCAGAGGAACAGAAGCAATTTCAGGAACTCTGAGCCTCTTCCAGAGAAAGGCAGCAGGCACCAAACCTGCAGCCCTCTGCAATCACACACCAACCCAACTCCACAGCCCTCTGCAATCACACACAAACCCAACTCCACGGCCCTCTGCAATCACACACAAACCCAACTCCAGAGCCCTCTGCAATCACACACAAATCCAACTCCACAACCCTCTGAACACTCATTTTGTCCAAGCAAAGGCCCCACTCAAAGTTTCCTGAACCACAACCACTGCTCCTGTTGAAATCAGGCAGCAGAGGTGCAATATATTCATTTTCTGCAGCTTGAGTACAGAATCCAACACAACCCAGCACAAACAAACGCTGAAATTCAGGCTGGTTACTCACTTGTCCTGGGACTCAATGTACACATAAAGGTGAGGCTCAAAGCACTTGGAAACAATGCCATGGAAAGGATTGTCAGGGACCTTTGGCTTCTTTGGCTGCAAGGGAAAATTTAAAATGTTGGTTCAAACCTGACTTGAAGGAACAGCAATGCAACAGCACAGGAGGATATAAATCTTTACAGACACTGTAACACAGAAATTTGCTGTCAAATCATCAAAGCATATAAATGTTATTATATCCAAGTCTTCCCTCCTTCTTAGAGAGCTGTTAGCAATCCAAGGAATTATCTTTCCACTTGTAAAATATCCTTAGCCTTAAAGAGAAGGCTGCTCCACGCTAACAGATTTCAGCTGAAGAACCTTAATGCAGTTTGCAAATAAAATCTCCCTGAATCCTTCAAGCAGTAACAAGGCTCCCCTAGTCCCCTCTGAAATCAAATGTAGCAGTTATTTGGAAGCAAGATTAAAGAATCCTTACATTTCAGAGTATCAAGGGCAATAACTCAAAGCTACAGGCTCCATCTGAATGAATTTTATTTAGATAAACAGCATGCAATTACAGCAGGAGCCAGAATTATACAGGCCTGCTTTCACTGTGAAACACATTTCTGGGGATGCAAAGATTTCTATTTTTAAATCCCATTTAGAGCATTAAGCAAAGGTGCCATGTGGGAGCCATCCTGTTTACCCTCATTTGAGTTTAGTGCTGCATTAACCATGGCCCAGCACAGCCCTGGGACTACTCACACATTTAAATTTGTGCATGTTTAAATACCAGGCTAGGCAGGACCTTTAAGTTCTTTTTTGCCCTACAGCTAGATTGTTATTATTCTTTTTTACTAATAGATAATTTCTCTTGGTGCTTCCCAGCAGAGCAGCAGCTTTTCCCTGGCTGCAAAGAGAGCTGCAGTGACTCTGGAATGGAATTCTTGCTTCTCTCTCCACAAAAAGCCAAGATCAGCTCCCAGCCAACGAAGATATGAATTTTTCCAGCTGATTTTTTTTTTTTTTTAATGCAGGAAAAGCCAAACAAAAGAAGCAAAGCCTAAAGGATTTTCTCTCCTAAACAACACAGGAGGTGGCACTAAGAATCTGGCAGAACTATCAGAGTGTGACAAGGCAAACTTTCCTCAGCAACAATTCAGCCCCAAATGATGAATCCCAACTTATGGCTGCAAACCTAAAGTGAGGAACTGGTTTTATGGAGGCCAGACCACCTCAGTGAGCCTTGAATGAAGAATTGAAGAGCCTTCGGAGAGAACCATGACCAGGCATCCTCCACCCAATGCAGGATGCACTCACTCAATGGAGCTGGGAGTTAAAAAATAGTTGGGAATCACAAAAAACTCCTATGGCAGTGCCTGCACAAAGCTGCAGATTCACCAAGTTCAGCACTCAGCTCCTGCAGCAGGCCTGGCTCTCTGTGTCTCTGCCCCACGCTGCTCCCAGCATGTCTGGTGGAAGCAATATTAAATCTTTTACCAGTAGCACTGAAGCTGTATTTCTGAGTGTGCACCCCTGTCCAAAAGCTGCAGATGTTTAAGCTATTTCCTCCTTGAGTTTGATGGAAATAATAAAAGGTTACTGTTGTCACAGCAAGGAGGTCTGCAGCTGGCCCAGTTTCCTTTCATTACTATCCAAAGTAAACAGATTAAATGGAACTGCTAGGATTACCAAAAGAGGTGCTTTTTTAGCATGGATTTCCCCCCAAAGAAATTCTTGTGCTCCCTTTTAGATTCCCAAGTGTCTTGAATTTTCAGGAGTGGTGTCTCGGAAGGGCTCTTTAACTGAAAACCCTTCATCTTCTCTTTGTGTCCCTTCTGTTCTTCATGCAGTGACAGGAAAAATGAGATTTTCAGCACTCCCAGCATGAACCAGCAGCTGCTGGCACTGGGACACTGAAATGTTGGAGCCCACCTGGCATCCAGGGAGCTGCAGGGCAGCAGAGCCCAAAAGAGACCAAGAGCTGCATCAAAATTAACTCCTACCCACAGGTTAGTGGTTATCTGCTCATGGGAATTATGAAAATATCTGCCACACATGACTGTATTAAAACATTAAAATTACATAAAAATTGGGGGGAAATCTGGGGCTGTGTTCAACAGTGTTCACAGCTTTTCTAACTTCTAAAGCTCCTTTAAATATTTCTGCAGACAAAAAGGAATTTCACAAATAAAACGGCAGAGGTTTTTATTCTCTAAATATGAATTTGGGTTAATCTACACTGCATAAGGGCAACACACAAAATATTGATCAACTAAAACCAAAGGAGGAAAACCTTTACTCTAAAACTATTCTGACAAACATACAATCATTAGTATCTAACTTGAAAATTATTAGGTTAAAGGATGCAGTTGTTGTTTCCTACAGGGAAAGGGCAGCCTGCACTTCCAGGGATGACTCCTCTCCATGGATGGCTTCACAAGGTAAAAAAGAACACAGCAGCTCCTCTCTCAGAAGCTCCAGAACTGCTGCCTTCTGCTGTTCAATAAACCCAGCCCTAATTGCTGTAATTATCTCTGCACCTGCCTGCTAACACCTTGGCTTCTCCAAGGATGTGCTCTCATCTCAGCACTGCACATCCTAGCCAACAGTCCAGTCATGAGCTACTGGAAAGCAAACCCTTCCCAAAAAATGCATCAGAGGTGTGTCCCCAGCTTCCCAACCTCTGCCTCACTGATAAAATCCACACAATACCAACTGTCCAAGCTGGATTTTGATGGAAAGAGCAAAACCTTGCTTAAATCATCCTGTTTCAGGACTTTGAATTTGACTGTGTTCACAGGGGTCTGAGGATGAGGGAAGAGATGAGGATCTGACTCCATGTTTCAGAAGGCTTGATTTAGTATTTTATTATATATATTATATTAAAACTATAATAAAAGAATAATAAAAAAATATTTCATCAGAAAGCTAGCTAAGAATAGAATAAAAAAAGAATGATAACAAAAGCTTGTGGCTTGAACTCTCTGTGATTGGCCATTAATTAGAAACAACCAACATGGGCCAATCAAAAATCTACCTGTTGCATTCCACAGCAGCAGATAACCATTGTGTACATTTTGTTTTTGAAGCCTCTCAGCTTCTCAAGAGGAAAAATCCTAAAGAAAAGGTTTTTCATAAAAAATGTTTGTAATAGATGAAGGCAGAGAGCTCCCACCTCCTGCTCTCCCCAGGGCCATGGATTTGAGCAGGTGCTGAGGCCCTGGTCACCCATCAGGATACACCTGCACATGGCCCATTTACAGGGCTGTAAATCCCCTAAATAAGAGGAGAGCACCAGCCTCAAGTAACCCACAATTGAACATTTAGAAAACATCCATCTGCTGTATAAAAAAATACAGGCTTTGATATTGGTGCCAATTGAAACAATTGCATTTACCATTCACCCTTTAATGTTAGCAGAGAGCTTTGGAAGCCCTGTGCTTGTACAAGCAGTGAGGTGCTGCCTGCTTTGCAGAGGTAATGGATAAAAAGCACTGGAAAGATAAAAAATCCCACAAGTGATTTATCTGGGGTGAAAATCTAAAGCTGACACTTGAAAGTTCAATGACTTGCCTGGTGACTCCAGACAGTTTGCTTGGCTGACAGGGCAAAATATGAATTGCAACTGTTTGTAGAGGAGTTTCTTTGGGGATCTGAAAACCCAAATAGCTATTTCATCTCCCTCTGACAGAAATGCTGCAGTTACATCTGGGCTGTTGCTGTAGAGGCTGGAACAGAATCCAGCTCACTCTCACGTGGCAGGATTGTCTCTGCACTATTAACTGGAATAAAGATTGCTTTGGTTTCAGTGAAGTGAGCCAGAGCAAAGCACGGTCGTACTGGGAGCCTGAATGCTGCACAAAGGATCAAAACTGCACTAAATTAATTGCTGTGAAAACAAACTTTTCAAATCAATGGGATGGGAAAAGCTGAGGCCCCACTGGAGATTCTGACAGAGGCTGAGCAGTGGGAACTTCAAAGACTTACTTTGTCTGTATCACCTTTCTCCATCACAATCTCATCTGTCTCTGGCCCAGTTTCATCCTCCAGAAAGGGGTTGGTGGAGGGAGGTGGCACCTCTGGTTTCTTCTGTTGGAAAAGAGGGAGCTCTTCAGAGAACAGCCAGTTTTGTGCCCTCTGGCACACAGCTGCACCCACATTTTGCTTTCCTGAGCCCTTCAAAGCACTGCCCAGAAATTTCCCTTCTCCTCAGATCCTGGCTCCCTCTCCACCCCTCCATGCTGCCTGAATCCTCCTTGGAAGTGTGACATTTGATCCAGTGGGACATTTCCACTCCAAAGTGTGTGGTCTCCACTGGGATAAACCACAACAGCAGCTCCAAAACTCTGCCCTGAAATAAACCCCAAATTGCTGCTCCCACTGTTTGTCCCCCTCCCCTCAGCCAGCTATTTATAATGGTGGCCTTCATTTTGGGTACAAAACAGAGCCAGAGTGTCACAGCCTCTGGACATGTCAGAAATGGGGAAACACAGGATTTTCTGTCATTTGAAACCACACCCTTCCCTTCTGCTTTTCTCACAACAACCCAGAGAAGTCAGTTTAATTAAAGCTGCAAATTTTCTATGAAACTTGTCAGAATAAATAAAGCCATATTCCTGAGAGATCTAAATTCAGCCAGGAGGAAAACCTTGCAGGACTTCCTCTTTTAATTAGCAAATGACCAGTGGGTGCAGCAGGCTTTCCTTGGAGGCTGAATTTTCACATCCAGGCTGGACAGAGAAGCCAAGCACACATGCTCTGTGTGTGCATCTGGCTGGCAGAGCTCTGGGCTGAGATTCCAGGCAGGAAAAGCTCAGAGATGGCTCCAGAGATATTCCCTGAGCTTTTTCTCTTGGTTCTGCCTTTACAATCCACCAAAAGAGACAAAGCAGAAGCTGCCAATGTCCCTGCAAGCCAGAGTGACCCAACAATGTGGGATTGAAAGCTGGTACCCTGTGGTCAATGTGTGATACCCAGAAATGAGGACAAGAGGAGACTTTTAGTTATAATGTGTCACTGACATGTAGAGAACAAACATTACAAGGCATTTAACCACACCATATCACTCTGTGGCTTCAAACAGCACAGGGCCCCAGGAGAACAAAAAAAGCACACACAAGCAGTGCATTCTTTATTCTTGTGAGCCCTGTGCCATCTTCTCTACAGTCTACACAAATAAAAAATCATTTTTCCAATACAGGAAAAAAAGTGATACTGAGTAGAGTCACACTGAGCAAGGGGAGGCTGCAGGTGACACCTTTTGCAGTTTCCACCTGAACTATGTGTGAGGGGATTTTTTTCCTCCTGACAAAGTTCCTTCTTCATAATTACCACTGTGCCATCTTCTCCATAGTCTACACAACTAAAAAATCATTTTTCCAACTAAAAAATAATTTTTCCAACATAGGCCACTGAGCAGAGTCACACACTGAACACCCTGAGCAAGGGGAGGCTGCATCTAAATTCTCCACCACCTGAGCTATGTGTGAGGGTTTTTTCCCTCCTGAGCAAGCTGCTGAATAAAGAGAGCTCTTCAGAATTACCATTGTGCTATCT